TTTGACACTAAACAATTGGTGCAACTGGGTTACTGCATTCATTTTCATCTTGTAATGAATAGATGAGCCTAAGCCAACTACCTAATATGCATCGATTAGGAAACAATCAGTAATATTGTATTGCACCAACTCGATTTCTATTAGTAATCAAATCAAGCCAGTTGGTCTTGCTTCTTTTTCTAGTGTATAGTGTTTTTAACATGTGCTAACTACTAACGACACAGAATAAAAGAAAAAAAATTCCCAGTTTTAGTTTTTTTTTTTTTTTTTACGTCAAAAAATAGATTATATAATACAGAACCCTCCCCTTCTCTACCTACTGTAGATATCAAATTTGAGATCTCTAACATGAAAATTAAAGTTTTTAAGCATTAGATTGTTTCCTAAGGAACATTTATTCTCCTAATGATTCATGAGATATTGGCGCAATTCACTTTAGCCCCAAGCCTAGTTCCATTATACGTAATCCATTAAGTAGACCTTTTGATCTCCCTCTCCCACATTAAGTAAACCTTGTGCTCTTCCACTCCTAACAGTTCATGTTTTACAAAGGTAATTTATAAATCCAACAAAATTCACAGCATGAAGTACCATTTTTTGTCTCTTAACTTTCTGCTTATGCACCAAATTTGCCCCTCAACTTTTTATTTGATTTATTTTCCCCCCCTATCTCATGAAGTAATTTGATACTAAAACAGTCCCTCCATTAACTATTTAAAAGGTCGCGGGCCCATTTTCATACCAAATCCAGGTTAAGGTTAACGTGTCACATCTTCAAATAGTTAATGAAGGACAACTATTTCGGTACCAAATTTGAGTGCTAGTGGACTAAAAATTGTAACCAATAAGAAACATCGAGGGACAAATTTGATGTAAAACCTGACAGTTGGGAAACCAAAAAGTTATTAAACCTAAATGTCCCTTGAACTAGTCAGAGAGTTGTTCATTGTCATTCCTCAACTCAAAAATAATAGTTATCATAATCCGTCTACACTGAAAAATAAATCAATAATAGTCTCTTTGTCAATAACCATTAAACTTCATCTCCCACTGAGGTGTGGTGCTGAGATATTGAGATGTCATGTTGACATGTTATTTTAACTGTAATATAACACCCTAACATAAGATGCAAAAGCTTCTTAATGCCATTTATCCTTTTGATTATCCTTAGTAACTTAGAGATATTCCTTCGATTAGAATTTCTCGGTAAGAGGAGTGGTCGTCCTGAGGTCTACTTCAGTCATCCTCATATTTAAATTATATTCTCGAATGCTAGAAGAATACCTAACTATTATTTAAACCTTTTGCATTAAAAATATACACTCTGAAAGATATAAATTTGTAGAACTTTCAAGTCACAACTGTATATGTGTATGATCTAACAAAACAATTAATTGACATAGATATGATGTAATGATGATATTCTTTTGGATTGATTTCCATATTAGCATTCTTCGATTATTTTTCTTTTTGAGCCAAATCAAGAATTCTTTCTTTCTTTCTTTTCTTTTTTAATTTTTTGATCGGAGAACGGTGGAGGGGGAAGAATCGAACTCCTGCCTCCGGCTGAGGAGGCATTTGAAGCATTTAAAGTGCTTAGGCCAACCACTGGGCCATCAGTTCCTCATCGGTCAATCCACGTGTTCTACTAAATTCTCCTTCTTTTTTTTTTATTAAACTATCGATGACAAAAAAAAAAAAACCCCTCATCTTCATATTTATCTCTCTTTTATCGATTTACATAATTTGGCAATCTATTTTAATTTTTAGCATTAAAATATGATAAATGAGGGGTATTTTTTTCTATTTCGAATTATAGAATGAAAGACAAATTCACTTTCATTTCATTACTCACTACAACCGCATGCTTATAATTTGAATTTAAAATATCTTATTTCACTTAAATAAGAAAATTATCATTAGACCACCTAAGTTATTAGTGAAATACAGTGAATTTTTGTTACAAAGGAATTAGGATGGATTCAAATTTTAAAGTGAAACAACTAAATTAGATTGGAGAGCAATGGGAAAACCATATTATTGGATAATTGGGCATAGGCCCCACAATAAATTCTTAAAATCTAAAGAATGGAGATACCTAAGTTAAGATTTTAGGAAAAATGATGTTAAAAAGGTCTTACTCTTAATCCTTTTTAAGATAAAATGATGCTAAAAACTCATATTTGAAAAAAATAAAAGGTTCTATCCTTAATTGATTCCTAGTTCCACGCCACTACTAGAGAGTAATTAAGATATAATTAAGCCTATGATACGCTGTTGAATTTGATTATAAATATACAAGAAAGGACTTGTGGGATTAATTTACAAGCAAGCTAGCTAGCTAGACTTTTTTAATTAGACCCCAACTTCTATACCCAAATACTTTTTCCATTTCTCAAGAAGATTGGAACATTAGGCTTCAGTCTTATGAAGCCGGAGGGTGATAGGCCTTAATTAGGCCAATCGGATTGTTTCTTAGGCCAGCTATATACACTATCCAGTTCCCCGTGCCAACATTGGGAAGGTTTTGGATCAATGTGAAGCGTGCCATATTTCATTTTTGGTGTAGGTAGGACCAACTACACGAGTTCTCTAAAGTCTAATCGTCTTAATTGATATTGAAATTTCAGCAAAACTAGAAGCTGACTAAATAATGTTAATGAGTCATTAACTCACTGCTCTAACTGTAATTGTTGGCTAAGGTTCTAGAATCATTTTCATGTTGAAAATATCAGAAACATTGATACATTTTTTAACATGGGCAATTGAGGGGGGAGAAGGAAATTCTCTTTCCAAGTTGCAGATGGGAACAATGAGAAAGAAACACATTAAAGACTACTTGAACAACAAATTTAGAGAAGATTGGTGGCAAGAGATTTTCGATGGATGGTGTCGAGATCAAACAATTGGATGAAAAGGACAATAACGTGCGTTTAGATGAGTTTAATGAGGAGAGATTTATCAGTGTTTTTTTGGGATTTTGAAGGCAGTAAGAGCCCAGGACTCAAGGGGTTAAATTTTTAACTTTCTTAAAATAATGTGACCTATATTGAAAATTAACGTTTGTGGCCTCGCATATGGATTTCATGTTGAGGTATATATTGCTTCGTGTGCTTTGAAAATTGAAGTCCAAAGCAGTGAAAGGTGATAACTTTGTAGTTTCAGGAACCATTTATCCAGAACCAAAGGAGGGAATCAAGTCTGAGGATTTGAAGGTTCCGAAACTTGTGTGATTTGAGCTTTATCTGAATTCATTCAACATTAATACTATATATGTTGCATATGAAGATCTCAGACAAAAATTCCTTCCTTTCCCTAATTGCAGAATGGATCAGGTAACATCTGGTTGCAAACAAGAATTTAAGATGGAAGTTGGAGGTGCTTGGTCTCATTTTGGTCAT